ACTTCAGTTTCCCTCTTCTTGCCTATTTTAGAGGTCAGCTGTGTGTGTGCATCATCAGCACCCAGCACCCAATAGACGGGGTCACATATGGTGTGTTAGGAGTGACAGGGCTACTGTACCCACCACACAACCCGAAGTCCAAACTCAAGGAGCAAAGGTCAGAGAGTGGACTTCTAGCAGAGAAGCCCGGCCAGGACCACACACCACAGACAGAGCCTCTCTGTAGGTGTAACCTGAAGAGAGAAGCTTTGCCGGGAGCTTCAAAGTGTCCCTCCATATGTGACCAGGGAATATGCAACAGAGTGAAAACAACCAGGGAAAGATGGTGTGATTTAGTGAAAAGATGGAGGGTAAGGAGAGGAGCCGAAGGTTAGTGGATAGCTGAATTCAACGATAACGTTTAAAGGACAAAACTCTAAGCCAGGCTTGCTGGCACAGGCCTATCGTTCCAGCACTGAGGAGATGGAGGCAAGTTTAGGAATTTAAGGCCGGTCTTGAATACACAATTAGTTCTAGCGCAGTCTGGGATCAAGAGAACCTGCTTCTAAAAACAAGCAAACCAAGCCCAAAGAAAACAGAAGAATATGACCCATTCTGCCTGTCTGATTCTTCCTCATGCTTCCATTCAGCCACAAACTAACTTCAATCATATTGTAGTAATATTTAGTATTGATCACTAAATGCCAAACACTCTTTTAAAAGTACTTTACTTGTATCGACTCCTCGCCTCATCAAAACAAACCTATGCAGACATGACAAGGGGCTGGGGCGACTTACAGCATGCATAGGGCCCTGGGCTTGATTGGCGGTACTAGGAAGAAAGACACAAACAATGAAAGTGAGGAAGAGAGTGAAAGAATAAACTGCTCAGTTCCACGTAGCTATGGAGGTGCCAAGGCCGGATTTATACCCAGCATTCTGGCTCTATGACTCCCCAAGAGACAATAACAATGAATATCCCCTGCTGAGCACAACTAAACCTGCACCCAAAGCTACATATCACCTCCTTCATTCATCCTTCTGCACTCTCCCTGGAAATTGACCTGACAGGGACTTAAGGTGGAATTGTCCTCCTACTGATACTGAGCTATTTTTTTCTTGTGTGAAAGGCTTGTGATGTGACCATTTAGCATTGCTGTTTTTAATACCCTTATTTCAAGATAAAAGCTAACATCGAGTTGAGCCTATTCAATTAAAAATATGATAAATGTAATGTATTTTTCGTTTAGGAATGTTTAGCTTACATGTATATATGTGCACTACATGTGTGCCTGGTCTGAGGTCAGAAGAGGGTGTCAGATCCTCTGGAACTGGAGTTACAGACAGTTGTGAGCCACCGTGTGTGTGCTGGGAATCAAATGCAGGTTCTCTACAATAGCAGTGCTCTGAATTTCTGAGCCATCGCTCCAACCTCCAAACATGTTTTTTTGTTTGTTTTTTTTTTAGTGGGTTTTGGTGGTGTTTGCCTTTAATCTCAGTACTTGAAGGAAAGGCGAGCTTCTGCAAGCCAGAAGCTAACTTGGTCTATACAAGGAGTTCTAAGCAAGCCATAGTTAGATAGTAAGATCCTGTATCAAAAATTAAAAACATGAAAAATTAAAATATCAACAAAACCTCCAAAAAGCATGGTTTTGGTTTTGTTTGATCATAAAAAACCCACGGTGTGAAAACACTGACCCAAGGGAATCCATGCCTTGGGTTTTGTCTGTTAAACCAGGAAGAACTCAGAAAACTAAAGGGCAGTCCCCAAGGGCCCAAATGTATCCTTGTGAAGATGGATCTGACCTCAAATTACTCCCCAACTCCCTAGGGGCTACTACCAGTAGGAATTCCCTGTCCTTCCTGGCCAAGCTGACATGCTGGGGAGAGTTCAGGACACAGCTTTGACTGTGGTTTCCTGATTAAAGGGAGACTCCAGGCAGGCAGGAAGGAACTCTAGCTTGAATAGTCCATGTCCTCGTCATCTACCCCTTCTCAGGAATGAAAACATCAACAGAAATGACCTGGAGCAAAATACCATTCCTGGGAAAATTCCCAACCACTGGGTGAGGGGCTCTTAACTTCATCTCCTGTGTCTTTGCACAGTAAAATGACACACACAGTTCCATCATTTCTCAGCACTGTCTTTTGTTTTGTATTGAGAAAGGGCCTCACTTTATAGCTCTGGCTGGCTTGGTACTCATTATATAGATGAGTTAGGCCTCTGACTGGCAGAGATCCTCCTGCATCTGCCTCTTGGGGGGGGTGTTGAGATTAAATGAATTCATAACACTCCCACCATTTAAAGAAAACACTTTCAAGCCTGTGTTTGATACAGCTAATGGTGATTGACAGAAGGAAACTCTGCAAGAAGCCAGATACAGCATCCACAGGAATTTCTAGCTAAGAAGAGTGGTAAGATATGGATCCCAAGAGGTGTCAAGCAATGAGGTGGGGAACTTGATTCTGCTGCTAATGCATCTTGGGATCTTAAGGAGAATCAGTTTCAGTGCCACAAAACACAATGTGGCTCTTTCTGGGCCCTAAGCATTTCAGATTCAACTCATTGCCCTACGAGGAAGCACAAACTACCTTCCTGAATCAAGAAGGGCAGTTGTTTCAGGCCTTTTCTTTTGGGCCACCAACCAGTTCCCAAATCTTGGCATGGAGACTTCTTATTAGTTATGAATGCTCGGCCTAGCTTAGGCATGTTTCTGGCTAGCTCTTTTAAGTTAAATTAACCTGTTTCTCTTTATCTACCTTTTGCCTCAGAGCTTTTTCTTTTCTTACTTCTGCATATCTTACTTTCACTGCTTCTCAGGTCTGGCTGGCTGATGACTGCCTGACTTCTTGCCCTGGGCTCGTTCCCTTCTTTCTCTTCATTCTCTTCTCCTCCTTCTCCCTCTTCTTCTCTCATCTTCCAAGTCTAGATTTCTCCTCCTTTTTATTCTCTTTACCTGCTAGCCCTGCCTATCCTTTCTCTGCCTAGCTATTGGGCCAACAGCTTATTATTAGATCAGTCAGGTACCTTAGGCAGGCAAGGCACATCTTTACATAATTAAACACACGCCCTTCCATGCTAAACAAATGCAGCATAAACAAAAGTATCCCACCTTTACACAGTCAAAGTTATATTCTGCAGCACAAACAAATGTAACACATCTTTGCCCTGTTAAAATAGTATTCCACAACAGTCAGTAAGAAACAATATTAAGAAAAGGCTTTGGGACCAGACCAGGGAGGAGGCTTGAAGGGTAAACACACTTCCTCTCATGTTGGACAGCCTGAGTTCAATCCTTGGGGTCTACATGGTGGAAGAAGAGAACACATTCCTGTAAGTTATCCTCGGACTTCCACTGTGTGCCACAGCAAATGCTGCTGCCTAACCCTAAGATAAAAATAAATACTTAAAGAGAGAGGAGAGAGAGAGAGAGAGAGAGAGAGAGAGAGAGAGAGAGAGAGAGAGACTTAAAGAAAAGGTAGAACACAGAAATGTGCCAAGACTCTGACTGGTGCCGGGCGTTGGTGGCGCACACCTTTAATCCCAGTACACGGGAGGCAGAGGCAGGAGGATCTCTGTGAGTTCTAGTCCATCCTGGTCTACAGAGCATTGCCAGGATAGGCTCCAAAGCTACACAGAAAAACCCTGTCTCGAAAAACCAAAAAAAAAATAAAATAAGACTCTGGCTGGTATGAGTGACTGGGAGCTGATGGAACAGAGTTCCAGGGCATTTCTACAGGGCTAGAGAAGGGAGGGAGAGGGGAGGCAGGAAGGGGTGTGGCAAAGGTCTAAAATACCTGGGATCTCCCAAGCCTCCAAAGGGATGTGAGATTCAGCATGAGATTCTATGAGATTCTATGAGGCTCACAGCACAGGAAAGAAGGGGGGAAGCCTGAAAAAGCAGATACAAGAGAAAGCAGAGAGTAGAATCGGGCACTCTATGTCAAGTTTTTTTGTTTGATTTTTGTTTTTTGTTTTTTTTAAACAGAAATAGGATTTAACCCTCACTGTCTGGCGGCCAAGTAAAGGGAACAGAAGTGAAGTACCATGGCTAACTCTGTCCCCAAGAAGTTTAAGAGATTAAGCAAAGAAAACCCTCCAGCAAACAATAATATGCTACTTTCTGCTATGTGAATTCAGATGCAGTTCATGTGTACACAGATATGGAAGGGGAAAAAAAAACTGCACAAAGGGTTCATAACCTTTTAAAGGCCAAAAAAAGATTCCAGGCTAAGCTATCTAGAAATAGAACATTTTGATTACCAAATAAAAACTAGGTCAATAAGATAATGGATGTGATTTAAATGAAAATCACAGTATTTGTAGTGGGCTAAAAATGGTATCAATGTTACAGCAGAAAAAGAATATAATTAAATGTATTTTTAAACAGCAGCTCCCCACCCCAGGCCGACAAATCCCAGCCTGGCCACCAGGATTCCTCCACCTCATTGGAGAGGAATGTGCTAGCAAGCCACAAGTTGGTCGGAAGAATGTGGAGTTTCCGTACTACTCCAGAAAATCCCAAAGGACTCTGGTTAGCTCCATTCTTCCACCGGTAGGTCACTGTTACTCATTTAGACAGGAAGGAATGGGAAGGTTCACATCTGACCGTGTCTGTCATTCCTTTACCGTTTTTATTCTCTGACTGGAAACCTGCAAAAGCAAGCATTAGCTGCCAGAAGTCTCCAGAATCTATTGAAACGAGGGCCTTCGGGAGAATTCCAGATGGACTGAGGAGGTGGAAATACTTTGTAAGAGGTTTAACCACAGGGCAGGAATTGAGATAAAGGGTGAGGGGCACACTTCTGGTTTTCTTTCTACAACTGTGGTGTGAGGCTGTGGAAACAGACTCAGCGAATCTCTGGCTTCTTTCTGACAGAGGCCAGGAGGAGCATGGCGAATGACACGAGGGGTAATGTGGCAGGTGGTGACGGCAATCACTAAAGCAGCAGCTGCCAGGGGTCCTCCTCCATCTGTGTAATGGGCATGGCCGAGGAGTTGGTTTGTTTAACCAGAAACTTGTCCTCGGACATCTGTGTAATGGGCATGGCCGAGGAGTTGGTTTGTTTAACCAGAAACTTTGGTGACTCCTCCAAATGGAAGAGACGCCTTCAAGGAACAAATAAAATCGAGCCAGATAATAAACTAGGTGAGGTGATAAATAATTGAGGTGAGATTGTGAGTGTATGAGAGTGTGTGTATAACTCCTTCATAAGGAGCTTGCCATCAACCCCAGAAATCTCTGAATAAGAAGGTATCAGTGTGACTACATATAAGTAATAATTATTCAGAATAGCCCATTTTTTCATTTTTTGTGGGTAGTATATATTAACTAGCGAATTCATTAAAACCACTGCTTCTTCAGTGTGTTTAAATTCTAATATCCTATCCATTCAGTCCCAAAGCATTCACTTGTCCTTGGAAAGCATGAGTGTACGCCTCTTACAAAGAAAATCTGTTAAACGCTGATTGAACCTGCCAAGTGAGAGAAGCTGAGACCTTATTTCACAAGATGAGTAACGCAGCGTTGACCTCTGGTACAGTGGCTGTGTCCCAGTAACACTGGTAAGTTAGCGCCTGCCCCTCCTTTCTTACTTTGAGCTTTACAATAAACAGTAAGATGGTAGATTCCCTAATCAGGAGTGCCCCTCTATGAGTGGCCGAAGGAGCTTCAAACCCCAGTTATCCTGTGGCAGTAGCTCTCAAGGAATCCTAAACCAGGAGAAAGGCCAAAAAGTTTAGGACAATCTGAGCTCACCCCAGATCTCTTGGGTTATTCCTCCCTATCAACAGGATTTCTTAAACCTCAAAGTGAAATTAATGGCAAAGAAAATCTGTGGCAAGGGTCATCGTAAGCTAGGGAACTTCTGTGAATACCCAAAAATCAGGGTGTTAACATTTGAAGAAAAGCATTCAGTCCGTGTGCAGGGTTGTAAACTCCTAAAGAGGCAAGTGAAAAACTTGAAATGCTCAGATGCCAGCCTGTGAGCCAGGGTCCGTGGCTTCCTGGATCTGGTGGAGAACTGGATTATGCCCCTGAGAGGGGAAGTAAGAGGATCGAATAAGCACTTCATAGGGACGATCAGAGCTCATATTGGTGAAGGAATTGCACCAGGGCTGACTGCACTATCATAGGAGAGACCTCCTCTTGAGTTGTCTTCAACATCATTTGGCTTCTCAGATGGCAAAAGCAGTTAGGAGCTGGGGTAAGGGGTGTTTGGGTGAAGAGGCAGCTTGAGCACAAGACTAAGAAGAGAAAGCCTGTTCCCTACCACTCACCCACGAGCTAAAATTGTAGTGTGATCTGACACTGACTACTCATGCCTGATCTGACACTGACTATCAATGTCTGATCTGACACTGACTATTAATGTCTGATCTGACACTGACTATTAATGCCTGGAGACCTTCAACAATGGGGTCACTGTGACCACTACAGCAGAGAGGAGAAATTACTGGCCAATGACATAGGAATTCTCTTTCACCAACAGGACTCATGGGAATAAATCTAATTGTACCTGTTTAGGCAACTATTACTGACAGTTCAGAAACAGGCTGGGGGTACACTTAATACTTTCAATGGATGAATGAATGTTTTGTGGCCAATGGTTGTGATACTGGGATTGAAATGTGGTGAGGAATTATTGCTTGTAGACCAGGCTGGTCTCAAACTCACAAAGATCCATCTGCCTCTGCCTCCCAGTGCTGGGATTAAAGGCATGTGCCACCACCGCCCAGAAAATTGTTGCTTTTATATATATATATATATAAATGGTATAAAGGTTCATTTATTTTTAAAAAAGAATAACACTTCTATATTAGTTAGCTTTCTATTGCTGTGTTGAAAAACAATGACCAAAGCTAGATGGTGGTGGTGCATGCCTTCAATCCCAGAACTTGGGAGGCAGAGACAGGCAGATCTCTATGAGTTCAAGACCAGTCATGTCTACAGAGCAAGTGATAAGACAGGCTCCAAAACTACACAGAGAAACCCTGTCTCAAAAAAAAAAAAAAAAAGCCAAACAAGAGAGAGAGAAGAGAGAGAGAGAGAGAGAGAGAGAGAGAGAGAGAGAGAGCACCACATGTGTTTGGGTGCCCATGGAAGTCAGAAGAAGGCACAGGGTTCCCTGGAGCTGGAGTTACAGTGTTTGCGAGCCACCTGAGTGCTGGAGACAGAACCCAGATCTTTAGCAGCAAGTGCTTTTAACTATTCAGCCATCTTTCTAGAACTCCTGCACTTTGTGTGTGTGTGTGGCGCGGGGGGGGGGGGGGGGGGGGGGGGAGAGGTACTAGGGATTGTAATTGGGGCCTCTTGCTTGCAGAGTGAGCATGTTCCCTGCCTAAGTATCCCCCCAGGACTCCCTCCCCCACCAGATCAGAGTTTCTATTAGGTGAATCTGATAGGTTTAAGTTTCGGTGTTTGTTGTCCTTTTGACTTGGTCAGGTGAAAATCAGTGAACAAGGAAATCCAGGAGGGGGATTATCTCTAGAATAATCATTCAAGTAAATGTTCTCCGACCCCTTTATATCTCCCTATTGGCACATTATAAGTCAGTAACAACAGTAAAAAAAAAAAAAAAAAAAAAAAAAAAAAAAAAAAAAAAAACCAAGCAAACAAACAAACTTGCTTTTTAAAGCAAACATTTGAATAAGTTAAAAACTTAAATGGACTAGAAATAAATACCAAACAGATCAAACCTGGCTATTTTAATATTTTTTTTTAAAAAAAGAATGTGACATGTAGATGGAAATCTTGCATTTATGCAAATGCAGGCAAGGTGATTATGTCTGACAAATACTCACAGGCAAATGAGAAAAAGTAGACAAAAGTTCCCCTTTCTAAAGTAAACCAATCTTTTTTTCAGCATACATTTCTTCTAAATCCTGACATTTATGCTGGCTTGAGAAAACAATTTAAGTCAACACTTCCCACTCTGTTATTTAACCCCAAGGCATGAAGTCTGATTAAATAGTCCCCAAATATCTTCACATACAAGGAGCAGGCAACAACTGACTTACCCTGTGACAAAGTCATCCTGTTGTGTGACTGTACCCTGTAGCCCTGTCAGTACTTCACTGAGCCTGGAGTTCTCCTTCGCCAACCCTCCCTCAGAACCACACTGATGCCCTTGAATGTACGGTTGCCTCCAGGCTCTGTACTGCACTGTGCTGGTCTATGCTTTCAGGTTTAATAACATCATGTCCAGGAGAGCTTGTTCCTCCCAAAGATTGATTTGCTTCCTCCAAAGGGAGCCTCTGGCTTCCTACTCCCAGGACCTCTATGGCCCTCTCAATTCTCTTGTCATTGACCTCCTTTTTCTCCTCTGGATCCTCCCTTCCCTTCAAGACCTTAAATAATGGCTCACCACATCAGGAGACAAGGCCAGGGTTACATCTTCAGCCGATTGCTTGGCAGCTCCACCCCCACCCCAAATGTCCAATAGGAAACTGATTTAATGTGCTCAAAGCATGACCTTGGGTACTCACTCAATGTTTCTATCTCAATAAAAAAAATATCACTCAATTCAGAAAAATAATTAGAGTCACCCCCAACTTCCTTCTTTCTCCCACACAGTATAGCTCATCCAACCACAAATCTTGTCAACTGCCTTCAAAACCGCTCTCTGGACTTTAACCACTAGGCCCCACAGCCAGCACTGTTCTTCTGGTCTCAGCCATCATTGCACCAGGCAACAGCAACAACTTGAACTCACAGGTCCTCTAACTCTTTCACTGGCCTCCTCTGGAATGTATTTAAGTGGTCATTTACACAGTTCAATCACATTTTCCACGTCCCCTCTAGCACCCTCTAAAGGCTTATCATCACACTTACAATCCCAAGTTTCACATGGCTTGCACAGCTCCTAGTACTCCTGTACTTGATGAATTCTCCTGCTTGGTCCCACTTTTCACTCTTCCCCTTGCTCACTCTAGTCCAGCCATACCAACTGTCTTCCTGTACCCATGTGTACATGGATTAAATATTAACTGCTTACAAACATTGCATTGATCCATCTACCTATTGTTTCTCTGACGCAGCCATGAGGCCAGTCCTCTTCCAGCTGCCCCCTGGCTTCCTCGTGTCTCCGTAAAGGTCCTCCTGTGAGCTCTAATGAAGGATTCTTTCTATGCTCAGGTCAGGTTCATTAGTCAACTTTCCTGTTTCCTTCTATGCCTTGTGCTGTTCAATACGGGTGTCCACTAGCCACGTGTGGCTGTTTAAATGTCAGCTACTTAAAATTTAAAAGCTCCATTCTTCAGCTATATTAACTGTGGTTACATGTGGCTGGTGGCTAATGAGCCACAATGCTGTTCTGTCCTACCAACACAGGAAGCAATCCTGAAAGCGCTACAACTTACGACACTCCCTCAAGAGAACCTCGTAATAGAGTAAACCACACACCCAACAAGTCCTTTCAACCAAGCTGTTTTCCTAAGTCCTTGGGTTTTAATCTCAAGGAGCTCCTGAGATCCACCCCCAATTTTCAGGAAAAAAAAAATAGATTATATGCACTATGTCCTATACTACACATATGTGATTTTTATTTCAGTAGCCTTATTTGCTGTGTAAATATTTACACACTAATAATATTCAGTTCATACCTCTTCAAAGCTGGCTTGGCTGTTACGTCTTTTCTGTGCCAAACACAGAAAACTCTTCAAAGAACACATTTTAATAAAGATGATAACATATTAGGAAGCCTTCAGGCTTCAGAGTCTTCCAGGCCTAAATCTATGCCGACAACGATTACCTTGGGGTTATGTAATCTTTCAGAATCCTCAGTAGGAGCGTCTATTTTTTTTAAGGATAAGTTTTTCTTAAAATGATAATTAAGGACATTTTAGGTTTACAGAGAAATCAGACACTAGGGAAATGTTTGGAGATCTACAAAGATGACACCAGCTAATAATCTAAGCAACAGAGGAGCGGCTACCTTAAATGTCCTCCCCTGATAACGAGATTGATGACTAACTGATATGCCATCCTATAGCCTTCATCCAGCAGCTGGTGGAAGTAGAAGCAGACACCCACAACTAATCACTGAACTGAACTGGAATCCAGTTGCAAAGAAGAAGGACTGATGAGCAAAGGGGTCCAGAGCAGGCTGGTAAAACCCACAGAAACATCTGACCTGAACGACGGGAAGCTCGGATAGCTGGGATACCAGCCTGGGACTGATCCAGACACCATGAATGTGAGTTTCAGTGAGGAAACCTCGAAAATCTACGGGACCTCCTGTAGTAGTTCAGTACTTAATACTAGCAAAGGTGTGGACTTTGGGAGCCCGTTCCACATAGAGGGATACTCCCTGAGCCAAGACAAATGGGGGTGGGCCTAGGCCCTGTCCCAAAGGACATGATAGACTCTGATGACTCCCCCATGGCAGGCCTCCCCTCCCTGGGGAGCAGCAAGGATATGTGATAGGTAGGGATTTAGTTGGAGGGGGGTGGCAGGGGAGGAGGAGAGGGAGAGGGAACTGGGATTGACATGTAAAATAATCTTGTTTCTAATTCAAATTAAAAAAACATTGAAAAAATGATAATTAAGTGACCTCATACCTATAAAAGCATTTATCAATGGGTTATCCTTGGCTTCTGTCATTGATGATGCTGTGGACAGTATATCAATTACACAGAAGAGTCATAAACAAAATAAATGCAAATAATATATGAAGAGGTTGAAAATGTGCTGGAAAGAATGTCCAAAAGTAATTTCTTGTCAGACAGGGTCAAATGAATGTAATATCTATTTCTTCAATATCAAACCTTGGAAAATATGTTTGAGAGTATCATAAATTGTGTAGAATTTCCAGTCTTTTGGAAAATTTGTATCAAGGATGGTGAACCCTTGCTTGGCAAGTTGAACAAGTTTCCATTCCTTAACTGCAAGAAGGGTGATTTTCCTTTAAAAATGAAATGTATGTGAAATGTGGTTAAATGGGGAGAGAACAGCTAAACATACCACTCTTTAAAAACATTCGAAGGAACCACAACAACAGGGAGGGGTAAGGTCTGTAATCCAAAGCACACAAGAACATTACTCTCACTCAATCTCTAAGTTTTATGTCTATATTTTATATATATGTACCATGTGGGTACCTGTTGCCCTCAAAGGTCAGAAGAGGACATTAGATCCCATGTCCCAGAGTTACAGACTATTGTGAGCCACCATATAGATGCTGGTAGTCAAACCTGTGTCCTCTGGAAGAACAGCTAGTGCTTTAACCATTGAGATACCTCTCAGCCCCACGATATAATACTTCTAACAGTCAAAACTCATAGCCATATTCTTTGGACTGCCAAACTCAAGTAGAAGGGCTTAAAAGGACTTATGAGCAAGGATGCCTTTGATGACTTTTTTTTCTTTTGGCATTTTGCTAAAAGATCCAAAACAAAATGAAAGCTCTTTTTAATACTTCATTGCATCTCTAATGTTGACAGTTATATTTTCACAATTCAAATGTATTCCCCAGCAGAGTGTCATATTTATTTTTAGTGGAAGAAAAAAATTCAATATGCATAAATTTCATGTCTTGTGCTTTCTTAAAAACAGGGTTTAAGGTTTTTTTTCCAAAGAGGATTGTTATGCTCTTTTTAATTAAGATAACATAAGGAGCCATTCATAAATCTCTGTAAAATATGTGTTGCAAAAGTTGAATGCTGGGTAGTTCCTGAAAGGAGAAACTGTCATTCTCATGTTTGTGCAGCCAGGGTGGGGTAGCACAAGTTTGCACTTTTTCTCCCTAAACCCTCAGGTCTTATAGTTTATATAACTTTGCACCCATTTTGTGCAATATCTATCTATTTATTTATTTATTTATTTATTTATTTATTTATTTATTTTTGGTTTTTCGAGACAGTGTTTCTCTGTGTAACTTTGGAGCCTATCCTGGCACTCGCTCTGGAGACCAGACTGGCCTCGAACTCACAGAGATCCACCTGCCTCTGCCTCCCGAGTGCTGGGCTTAAAGGCGTGTGCAACCAACGCCCAGCACAATTTTAAAAGCTGTACCAGAAATAACTTTAAAGCAATAAATCTGTACTGTAGAGTCACTAACCTTGGTATCCATTAAATGGAATGTCACATTAAAAAGCTCAGGAAAGACTAAAGAAGTGATTGGTAAAATGTACAAGGATCCAAGTTTGATCCCCAAAAATCCAGGCATGGTGATGTGCTTGTAATCCCAGCTCTGGAGAGGAGGAGACAGGAACATCTCTGGAGACAACTGGTGAGCCACTCTAGTTAACTAAGACTCCATCTCAGAAACTAAGGTGGACAACACCTGATGAACGACCCCAAGGTTCATTTTTAGCTTCCCTACACATGTGCATCTGCACACACATACACACACATGTACTCTCACACACAGAGATATCCTTAGGTATCAGTTGGAGTGAACATTTCATCAACTGTGGTACATACACACCAAGTGCCACCATAGTCTCATGTGGAAAGATTCATTAACATTACAGTAGACACCATGGCTATCCGTAACTCTTTGTCATCTTGCTCATACCCTGTTAAAAGTCATCTTGCCTGTCACAATTCCTGCAGCAATATTCACACATTCAATTCAAGGTCTGAATTGCATTCATGAGCACACTACACTTTTACAAACTTAAGAGTCCCCTGGAACTGAAGTTGGATGTTATCACCCAGTGCCATTATTAAGTAGCCTGTATGGTGGCAGACAGATGGAAGGGATGAACTCACAGACTTGAATGCTATCTGCCCAAGTCTGCTTCCTCCAGTTATCAGTTGTGAGGCTAATCCTATCTTCTTCCCTCCTGGTGTGACAATTAAAGACAATGCCTAGCCGTTCAATAAAATGGTGAACTTGATGCAGATTGTGTAGGCAAATGCCTTGTACCTAGTAGGTGCCCAATAAAAGTTACCTATTATCAATCAGCAATTAATACATGAAGTACAATTTATTACAACTATGGCATCCCTTGCAACATCTGAGATGTTCCTTTCTTAGAAGAGTTGTGTTTACAAGTCTGTGACAAAATACTCATCTTGGTCTCTTTCTCCCTTGCAAAATGACAAAGTTTCCTCACACAGAAGTTGTACTTTGCCTTAACTTATGGCTGGGAGTCAAATGCACTTCCCAGTAGTTAGCTCTCAAGTTTCCAGGTCACACAAATGACCTTGCTCTGCTTCCTGCCAGCTGCCACCAGGAACATTTGTCCCCATGGTACCTCCTGGCCCCACCATGCTGCCAGCTCAATGTAAAGCAGCCTCCAAGACCTCCATTAAGTCGCTCTTTACTTCTGTCCTTTGGTACAAAGGCCCCTGTTCTCTAGGCTGAAAGTGAAAAGAGAGAGAGAGAGAGAGAGAGAGAGAGAGAGAGAGAGAATAAACAAAAGCCTGTGATTAATTCTCTTTCAAATCTAAAGGAAGTAGTTTTCCACTCTTCTCTCAGCAGACAAGAAGAAATCGAATCCTTCTGACCTCCTTAACAAAACATTCTTTGATGGCACACACAGACGCGGCAGGAACTGAAGGTTTAAACATACCTGGGATATTTGACTGCATATATGTCTCCAGTGTCTTTAACACCACAAAACTCCCAAGAGCACACTAATTCCTGACGGCTAGCCTAACTGAGAATTAAAGTGATTAAGCACATTCCCAAACCTTTCCAGCATATTCTGAATAGGTCACCGGGACTGGTAGAAGACTCCCCAGCTCAGATCTGGTATTTCCATAGAGGATGATCATGCTCTGGCATCTGGCTCAGTGACATGGTGACAGTGAAAAGCACTGCTTTGAGCTCGCAGCCAGTCAATGGTGTGAGACTTACACTTTTTGTCAACTGTGCTGACAAGGAAAGTTCACTGTTGGTGTTGACTTCCACCAAGCACAAGTCTACTGCATGAGCTCCCCAATTAGGGTAAGTATTTCTGGAGCTCACACTCCTGTATGTTCCCTTTCCTGCAGTTGTTTCTCAAACTCAGGGATGTTGAGGAGGAGAAATGAGTGAGCCAAGAAAAGCAAAGGTTGGACAGGGGGCAGGGAGGTGTCACAGGGTTAAGGGCTTGCTTGGGGGCCTGAGGACAAGGTCAGGCCTTTGACATTATATGCCTTATGGAACAGAAAGGAGTCTCTCTGGAGAGGCATTGCCAAGGTGACTGGAGGGTGAGGGCAGCACCCACCCACACACACACACACACACACACACACACACACACACACACACACTGCCGTTTAATCCCAAAGGACATGCTCTCACTGGACAGGGTGCCCTTGTATTGTACTTCCTCCTGCAGGGTGACTATCCACCTCAATAAAGCTTCATCAGCATTATCGTGACCTTTGGCTCTGCGCTTAGTGAGATGTCAGAGAGGAGACAGAAGGCCTAACCTGGGGGAGACCAGACACACACATTTAAAGAAATATCTACCATTTGGGGAGTTTAGAACTTGTTGACTTCTTGGTAAAAATCTCAGAAAATTAAAGGCTATTGTACACGTACACACACACACACACACACACACACACACACACACACAGCCCCACATAGAAAACCAAAACCAAGCTATACTGGACTTGGAGTCAGAAGACTTGGGTTTGGGAACTGGGCTAGCCTCTTATGGTTGTGTTAAGCCCAACACACAGTCTTTCTGACCTGGAAGGTTTTCAAATGAAAATGGAGAAGGAAGAGTTGGTGTCCTGCAGGGCTTTGCTATGGATTAAATGCAAGAACCTCTATAATAATGCTTTCAAAAGTTCACACAGCCAATGGGTGAGTGTAGTGAAACGTGCCAAAAAATAAAGCACAAAAGACCTGTCTATAAAAAGACTATTCTATAGAAGGAAACCTAAGCCTGATGATACAGCTACCATGGAGGCTGAAGCAGGAAGATTACAAGTTCAAGGCTATCCTAAATTAGAATGAGTTCAAGTCTAGCCTGAGTAACTTAGGGAGATCCTATCCCTAAATGGGGGAGGGAATTTTGGGTGCCACTTAGTGGTAGTGTTTGCCTAATACATGGTCTCGCTGGATTGGATGCCAAGTGCTGAAAGAAAAAAACAAAAAGCAGAAAT